ACAGACACACAGACACAGAGTCAGACACACACACACACAGAGTCAGACAGACACACAGACACAGAGTCAGACACACACACACACAGAGTCAGACAGACACACACACAGAGTCAGACAGACACACACAGAGTCAGACACACACACACAGAGTCAGACACACACACACAGAGTCAGACAGACACACACACAGAGTCAGACAGACACACAGACACAGAGTCAGACACACACACACACACAGAGTCAGACAGACACACACACAGAGTCAGACACACACACACAGAGTCAGACACACACACACAGAGTCAGACAGACACACACACAGAGTCAGACAGACACACACACAGAGTCAGACAGACACACACACACAGTCAGACACACACACACACAGTCAGACAGACACACACACAGAGTCAGACAGACACACACACAGAGTCAGACAGACAGACACAGAGTCAGACAGACACAGAGTCAGACACACACAGACACACACAGAGTCAGACACACACAGACACACACAGAGTCAGACAGACACAGAGTCAGACAGACACACACACACACACACACACAGAGTCAGACAGACACACAGAGAGTCAGACAGACACACAGAGAGTCAGACAGACACACAGAGAGTCAGACAGACACACAGAGAGTCAGACAGACACACAGAGAGTCAGACAGACACACAGAGAGTCAGACAGACACACAGAGAGTCAGACAGACACAGAGTCAGACAGACACAGAGTCAGACAGACACAGAGTCAGACAGACACACACAGAGTCAGACAGACACACACAGAGTCAGACAGACACACACACAGAGTCAGACAGACACACACAGAGTCAGACAGACACACACACAGAGTCAGACAGACACACACACAGAGTCAGACAGACACACAGAGTCAGACAGACACACAGAGTCAGACAGACACACACACAGAGTCAGACAGACACACAGAGTCAGACAGACACACACAGAGTCAGACAGACACACACACAGAGTCAGACACAGCGAGGAAACATTTCTACTGATTCTACTGGGCGAACAGGAAACTGACCTCATTCTGACGTCACAGTCAAAATGGACTCCGAACTTCTCCACGATTGGTTTAAACACCTGAAGAAGAAGAAAAACAAACAAACAGGTAAACAGACTTATCCTGTTGCCTAGCAACGCCTCCATCATACAGGAAAAGTAGTTCCCGTAGTAACAACGGCAGTCTGTGTTGCAGAACAGTAGCTGTAGTTCTCTGTACAGTGTGTATTTAATGTATTCACAGTGTGTATTTAATGTATTCACAGTGTATTCGCACACTGACCTTGATGGTGTAGTCGATCTGAGGAGCCATCTCTGCGTTGGTCCCTCCCTTCAGAAGGAGCTGTGAGGAGGCGTCGGAGAACAGGGCACAGGGCAGAGCGACCTGCAGCAGCAGACACACACTCCTGACACACACACACAGATTATATCATATATAATCAATACACACATTTCACATTACTCAACAATCAGGCAGATGAACAGGTGCTCTGAGCTTCGTCTTACAGGTGATATCAAGCACTTATCAAGGACCTGAACGGCAGACAGACTCACCCTGCTGTTTGTGTGTCGGCTGTGTGGTTTCCAGACCGGATCTTTGCTGGAGTCAGACTGATGTCGGTGGAGCCGATGGTGGCTCCCTGTAGACTGCCAGAACACAGATCTGAGACCAGCTGCAGGCCGCTCAGGTGCTGCGGTCTGAACACACACACACACACAAACCATAACACGGTGTACTTATAATACTGCAATTGTATAAAACTGACCATCTGATTCTCACCAAACTCCATTTAGAAATTTGAGATTTTAAAATGTTTCCAATATTATTATTAAAATGCACCAAGTCATGTTTTCTAATTGTTTAGTTCTGGCATGTTTTGAATGTTATGGCAAAAACTGCATATATATGATGTTCTGTCCTCATCAGTGAACCTCATTTAATTGATCCACAACTGCAGGATGAAGCACTGACGGTGTTTTCTGGAAAACAGACTGCGTCATCCAATCAGCTTAAGAACTGAATGTTTTGGGTTAATATTTCAGAAGCGTACAAGCAGCTGCATGAAGAGAACGTTTGCCGAATTTAAAGGCAGCTTCAGTTGATTAACTAAATCTGTTCAGTCATATTTCAGAAGTTGAGTAGTTTTGCTGCTGAGCCGGGCACTCTTATTTTACGGACATTTTGAATGGAGTCCGGTAGCGGCTTCTTTACCCCATAGAAGCTACACACATTATCTGCTGAAGTTTCCCAACAGCATCATTTAAAGGACCCGGGAGGCTTCAAGCTAACCGGGGTCAGTCTGGTGTGAAATTAATAAAACCTGTAATGGTATAAATGAATAAACACCCACAGAACAGGCGTTTTGTTTTATTGTTAAAGTCTGCTGAGTAAGTTAGCCGACAACTTCAATGAATAGGCTAACGTTAGCGTGCTAGCCGGCGAGCTGCTACCTCACCTGAGCCCAGGTGTGCTCCTGCCGGCTCGGATTTTGGTGATTTTGATGGGGGATCCGGTGATGCAGCTGAGCGCCGCGGAGACTCTCAGGATCTGTCCGCCCTGCAGAGAAGCGACACCGGGGAGGGAACAGATCAGACATCGGTCAGCTCAGCACCGGCTGCTAACTGTTAGCTTCTGTTAGCATGTTAGCAGAGCCGAACAACAGCTTCTCCGGTAATTTAAGGCGCGGGTTACTCACTCCCTCCATCACGCTGCCGTCGATCTCCACCGCCGCGGAGTCCATCTTCACACGAACCGGAACACTTTATGAGAACCTTTAAACTGCAGCTCCGGTACTTTTCCTCTGTTTGTCTTCTTCTTCTTCGGCTGCGACTTCTGTGTCACTTTACACGGAGTAACTACAGCCACTTCCGGTGGATTTCAAAATAAAATAAAGTTTTTCGAATTGGTGATTTTCTGGATGATAAAAATAAAAACCTGTTCAATATGTCGTTAAGATTCCTTAGTCGTGAAACCCGCTTCCTAAAAACACCATAATTACATTAATCTTCTTAATGGGACGATACTTTATTCTTATAACTAAAAGGTTAGTTATTTATTTCAACATTGTGTCAAAGTATATTTCAGTGCCGATTGAAGAGTTTTAAAATAGGTGACAGACTGTCAGTTTATGGGATGATTATTATTACTGTAACTTGATGTGATGCTGTGGATTGTAGCTGATTTTAATAGTTTAATGTAAAATAGTGGTACTAAAGAACAGGGATTTCAATATTTTATTCTTACTATAGAACTTGGTTGGTTTACTTTGAAGATGCGCATTTTATTTTGAAGAGTATTTCCGGTGTTCCTCCAGCTGTTCGGAGAACTTGATGCTTCCGGTGGTGAAGAACTACAACCAGCTGCGGAGTCTGCGCAGTACAGTCAGACGGCTGCACATGAAGCTCCGGTATTTTTAAAGTTACAGTTTAAAAAGAAATGGAACAGTGACAAAATTAATAAAGGTTTTTTTGAAACTATCTTTATCTTTTATTTGATTTTATTTACACCACATTATAAAAAGCCAAGAGGTAAAACGTGTTACTGCTTTTATCCATAAAGGTTAGAGGAAGAAATGAAACACTGAATGAAATTTAAAAGATGTAAATACAGCCAATTAAATTTAAATGATCAACTAATCTGTCTTAAATTAAAGGTGCTGCCCGGCTGTAGAGACGTAATGAGCACCTTTCTACAATCTTCACCGGACCACCTGAAAGAGACCAGGACCCAGGAGGTCACAGCAGGACTGTCAGATCCTTTAACCACAAAGAGCCGCTCCTTCGCTCTCTGCAAAGCCACCAGACTCATTTTAAGGTTACCGCTGCCACTTCGGTGTTTTAAGGTTCAGTTTGGATCTGGATGACTCACGTGAAGACGGGCCTCTGCGGGGGACACCTGAGGGGTCACTTTGTCCAGGTGATCCTGAAAGGCGGAAAGTGATTCTCTCTCATAAATGCATCACAGACAGAAACGACTCAAACATTCACACAGTTTGGTGCAAACGGCGGGTTGTGCACTGGTTTTACTGGTTTTACTGGACAGTTAAATACAGTTTGATGAGTTTCAGGCTTCATATCAACTAATGAGGCTACAGTCATCCAGCAGAGAGGCACGAAGAAGAAAACAACTAAACTACGTCCCCCAACACCCCCAGTCTGATGCTGATGTCACGCTACAGGCTCCGCCTCCTGCACGCCACAAACTTAGAGATCTGGGGAAAAAAAACAAAAAAACCCAAAAAAAACAGGTAACGAGACACACATGCTCGATCACGTGATCAGCGGTGCGTTCAGGAGACTCGCAGTAACTCAGTGATCATGTGACTGGTCCCAGTTTGATTTCAGAGGTTAAAGCCGGATTCAGAGCGGCGGCGTGTGCGAGCACTCCGTTAATAACGGACTGATTGTCTTTCAGCCCGTTCGATGCGTTTGGATTAGATTAGATTTGGATGTTACAGACGTGTTGGATAATTAAAACGTTTCTGTGGACTCGTCAATAAATCTATTAATTAACGGTTTCCCTCTCAGCCGCGAGGGTCCGTGCAGGACGCAGGTCCAGAGACCTGAACAGACCTGGAGACCTCTAAACGTCCCCTGAACGCATCACAGTGACAGGCCACGCCCTCTGGCCGGAGGCGGAGCCTGAGCTCTGACACAGCAGGCATCATATTGCACAACCAATGAGCTCCATCGACCGCCGACGTCTCTGAAGTGTCCACAGACAGTCTGAATTATTGATAAGGCATCCGTTCTGACAGGAAGTCCCGATCCACCTGATCGATCAGTCCGACACTCCAAAACAACTTCCTGTTCTCAAAGAGTCTTTTTCTTCAAAATAAAGCAGATGGAAACAGAGATCGACAGTTTGTGCTTCAGTCTGTCAGGATCAGGGCCGACTGATCAACAACTGATCGGCAGCGTGAAAAAAATCATTTTCAGTGGTTTAATTCTTTTTATTTCCCTGTTTCAGTGTTTAAAGTGACGTTCTGCTGATTTTAAAGGATCAATCTGCGGTTTCCCTGACTTCCTGTCTGCAGGACGGTGTCTGGGTGAGTGAGGATAAAGTGTGATGAAGGATCATGAGACCTGGCTCACTGATGGTTTACTGTTTGTGGAGCTGAGAGGCTCAGAGTCAGATCCAGGACTCTGATTAGGATCCGACTCTGTCGAGTTTCTGCTCTGAAGGATTCTTTAGTTTATTTCGTGTTTTATCTCCAAACAAACAGACAAATCTTACAGATCAATAATCGTATTAAGAAGTTGTGGATTTTAGACTAAACAGATAAAAAGAAGCTGAAAATATTAATTTAATCGCACAAACTGACCTGAGGTCAGGTGTGCTCGCTCTGAGGGGCGGCGCTGATCCGCCATCCATCGATAATTAGCAGCTGTTTAGAACAAAAACACCAAACCTGAACCTGTAACGTCTCCTCCCAGGGACCCCAGACCTGATCCCAGACCAGCTGAACCACATAGACATTTTCGGGAACTTGTTCTGAGTCGAGTGAAAATAGAAATCACCGTGTCTGGTCTGGGGACGTCCTGCGGGCCCCGACCCTCCGGTTGGGAAACACTGGACGAATCAATAAATCAGCATTTGTTTAAAATAAAAACTAAAATGTCAATCAACGGTAGACCGCCTCCCCGATCAGCTGATCACTGATGGATCCCTGATCAGCTGACAGACTGAGGCACTGTGTCACACAGGTGAGCCGGACTACACCTGGACTCTCAGGACGGGGTCTGTGCGGAGCTCTGCTGCTGTAGTGCTCTGCAGTCCCAGTCTGTACCTGGACTCTGTGAGGCGGGGCAGTCTGTCTCTGAGGGCCCCGCCTCCACCGGCTGGAGCCCTCTGATTGGAGGATCGTCTCCTCCTGCTGTGGTTTTAATTTCTACTGACACCACGTTCGGCTCAACGTCACCTCCTGCTGCTCCTCCTACTGGACCTCCTCCTGCTGACTCTCCTGCTGCTCCTGCTGCTCCTCCTACTGGACCTCCTCCTGCTGACTCTCCTGCTGCTCCTGCTGCTCCTCCTACTGGACCTCCTCCTGCTGACTCTCCTGCTGCTCCTGCTGCTCCTCCTACTGGACCTCCTCCAACTGGACCTCCTCCTGCTGCTGCTCCTCCTCCCATCCAGACCTCGGCCACCACACTGGGCTCGGCTGCTCCTGCTGACCCCTGACCTCCAGTCGCACCTCCTCCGCTGACTCCGTCGATGGGGTCTGAGGGGGGGGGCTGGTCTGAGGAGGACAGAGCTTCAGTGATGATGGCGGCCGTCTGAGCGACCCAGTTCAGCTCCGACCTCACCTCCCCCCCGCCTCCTGCTGCTGGAGAGGAGGAGGGCTGGGGGTCGATCTGAGGACCCGGCTGGGTGGCGCCGGGTCCTGGCGGGGTGGCGTCGGCGGGCCCCGCGGCAGCAGCAGCGTGGTTGTTGTTGAGGTTGTCCTGCAGGGCCGTCTGGTTGGCCTGACCCGCCTGCTGGTTCTGCAGCAGCATCTCCTGGATCCGGATCTGCTGCAGGATGGCAGGAAGCTCGTAGTGGTGGAAGAAGTAGATCATGGAGTGCTGAAAAGAAGAGGAGCAGGAAGTTAGTGACCCTGATCAAACCAGGTCCACACAGGAAACCCGAGTCCAGCTCAGCCAAACTCTCCAGCCCAGCTGATCCAGGACCGTCTAAACCTGAAACAGGAGACCCGAACTGGTTCACACACAGCGCGATGACGCCGTTATCTGCTCTGATAACGGTTCGCTGACAGGACGAGCTCGCAGCCAATTAAATCAGAACGTCTCGCAGCGAGCTGCCGTGTTTCAGACGACTTCATATTTACACAGAGCGACACAACAGGAGGCTGCTGGGAGAAAAGAGGAGGCTGAGCTACCTGTAAGATCAGAAAATATGTTTCTGTCAGATGATTCCAGCTGTCGTTGAACTTTACTGTGAAAGCAGTTAGCGTAGCGTAGCCCTGATCCAACCAAACTCCATTCAGAAAACAAGCGGTTTAAAAGCTGTTTGCTTGCCATCTCACAGACCTGACAGAGCACGAGTTCATATGTTAAAGATCAGCATCACGATGTCGTCGTTTCAGCATCAGTTTGAAACTAAATGTTTAGTTTGGGTTGGCGGTAGGGATGGGCGATATCTTATCGTTTGCGATATATCGTTAAATTCTCCTAACGATAATAACGATAAGTCTAGTTGATGACGTAGTTTTGTTTGCGCGCGCGATTCACTGTTCACGTGCGGACATTCTCTGTGCGGAGTGAAAACAAGCATGGCGGACGTGAGGCTGAGGAGGAGCTTGTTGTTAAGCGAGGAGCTACCTCCACAATTTGGAACTGGTTGGTTACAGAAAATCAGATGAGGAGCAAACTACCGTAATATGCAAAGTTTGCAGAAAAACGGTGGTTACAAAGAGTGGAAACACGTCCAATTTGTTCCACCATCTGAAACACAAACCAGAGTATGACGAATGTCTGAAGATACGCGAGGCAACGGAGGCGAAAACTACAAGTGGACCTAGAGGTAAGAAAATTACCACCCAGACCAAAATTGCCAGCGCATTTGCTAGTTGCGTCCCTTATGATAAGCAAAGTAAACGATGGAGCGAATTGACGGAAGCAGTGGCGTTTTGTTTGACAAAAGACATGTTGCCATTCCAAACTGTCGAAAAAGAAGGATTCAAGCGAATGATCCATAAACTGGACCCAAGATACAACATGCCCTCAAGGAAGTACTTTTCCAAAACAGCCCTGCCAGCGATGTATGAATAGGGTACAAACGTCACTGTCTACGGCGGATTTTATGCTTCAACTGCAGACATGTGGAGTAGCAGAGCGACCGAGCCGTACATTAGCCTTACGGTCCACTACATAACGAGCGACTGGAGTTTGAACAGCTGTTGCATCCAGACAGGTTTTTTCCCAGATGACCACACGGGTGAAAACATCGCGAGTGGCTTGAAGCAGTTTCTTCAAGAATGGAATTTAGATGAGGAGAAACAGGTGTGCCTAACAACGGACAGCGGGGCCAATATAGTAAAAGCAGCCACTCTAAACACGTGGAGTCTTGCTTTGGCCATTGTCTACACATTGCTATTGGTAAGTTTACTCTTTTTCTCTTAGTGTCAGTATATTTAATGCATGCACACTGAGCAAACATGAGCTTAATATATTAACTGTATTTATGTATTTGTTTCTGGATTAGTAACGTGACTGACTATGCAGTATTTTGAACAGCAATTCATTACATTAGCTAATGTTTATATGTGCATTTAATATTAAATGTTTATTTATTTAAATGATTTTTTTAGTTTCATCTATTTTAATTTTAACTTCACTTTAACTTTTTTTATTGTATTTATTCTTGTGCAAAAGAAACATAAATAAATGCATAAAAATAAATAGTTTTGTTGTTGTTTTGCAGAGAGAAGCATGCGGGATACCAGGATTGACAGAGCTGTGGGAGTCTGTAAGAAGATTGTCGGTGTTTTTTCACACAGCTGGAAAGAGCAGCGAACACTCAAAGATGCTCAAGTAGAACTTGGCCTTCCACCACACAAACTTGTGACTGAATCGGCAACACGATGGGGATCAAGGCAGAAGATGATCGGCCGGATACCTGAGCAAGAGAAGGCCATTACGCAAGTCCTGGCTGCTGACAGGTCAACCAGGCATCTGGTGCCTACTTGGCAGGATATTGATGTCCTAGACTCTGTCAGTAAAGCACTTGGGCCTCTTCTTGATTTTACAGATGCCCTCTCTTCTGAAAACTATGTCACAGTGTCATGCTTGAAGCCTACTCTTCACCTATTCAACAGTGAGCTGCTGCAGGGGAAAGATGAAGACACAGATCTCACCAGGACAATTAAAAGTTCAATATTGGACTACATGAACACCAAATATGGTGACCAAGAGGTTCAGGAACTGATCAACATGGCAACAATTCTTGATCCACGCTTCCGCACTCAGTATATGAGTCAAGAAGAGATCCTGGTCATCAAAGCCAGAGTAGTCAGAGAGGTGGAATCCCTTTCTGTCATGCCAAGTGATGCTGGCTCTTCTACCCCTGTAACGTCATCTGAAGCAACAAAAGAAGCTCAGAGTGCATCTAAAAGGCAGAAGAAGAGTCTTGGAAGTTTTTTTTTCACCCTTTCTGAAACAGAGAAAATTGAGGCTGAATTAAACAACTACCTGCATGGGCCACTTGCAGATGGTGAAAGCAATCATCTTACGTGGTGGAAGGTACATGAGGTGAATTTCCCTAACATCAGTCGTTTGGTGAAAAAGTACTTGTGCATCCCCGCCACTAGTACACCCTCAGAGAGGGTGTTCAGCGCTGCTGGAAATATAGTGACATGCCCAAGGTCTCTTCTGAAACCAGCTGCAGTGAATATGTTAAGGCGTGAGCCCTGTTCTCTTTTTGAAAGCTACTGAATCACACTAGTATGTGTGTTATGCAACTTGCACTACCAGACATGTTCATGTCAGCCTCATTTCTATATTTTGCAAGAGTATATCAGTGTTTACAGTTTAATTAAACTTTTATTTAAATTTAATTTATTGATTTGTTTTTTGATTTATCATCTTGTTTTGCACTATTTTGTAAACTATCTGAAGACATAGTTGGGATCATTACTTTTTGATACATGCAGTGTTTGCACTATTTTTACAATTTGTTCCATGGGACAAGAGTGTTGATAATTTAACTACCTAACTGGTGTTAGCATGTTCCACTTATGTATTATATTTACATTCTAAGAGTGTGTTTCACTCTGAACTTCTTTACTTTATCAGGATTTATTTGCAGTTGTACTCTGTTGTAATTTTGAAACACAACTGAAGACATGGTTGGTGATTGTTACTTTTGCTGTTTGCTTTGCACCATTTTTCCACCATGAGAATATAAATAAATAAAGAATCTGTGTTTACATTTTAAACTTGTAATTGATTTGAATTATTATTATTGTTTAATTGTTGTTGTGTGATGTTTTTCAGCACAGTCACTGGAACACAACTTTAACATAACATAATCTGATATTTTACAGAAGAAAATAATTTATCGTCATTTGTATCGTTATCGCAATAAATTCCTGAAATTATCGTGATAGATTTTTTAGGCCATATCGCCCATTCCTAGTTGGCGGGTTGCATTTATTCGAGATCTCGCTTTGTGTGTGAAACCAAGTTTCCTCTGTGATAAAGCTCATAGTTCTGTTGGGTCAGAGTCACGAGCTCGGGGTCAGTACGAGGACCGCGGTTCTGACCTGGATGAAGAGCCAGGAGGTGACCAGCGCCAGGCTGCTGTACTGGCCGTTGAAGCGGTAGTGATAAGCGTAGAAGGCGAAGTGGTACAGATAGAAGAACCTGAAACACAGAAACAGATCCACGTTCAAACACACAAACCTTCAAACCAACACAGTAACTACGTGACTGATTCATAGATTTATAATTAGTTAATAACTTGTTATGAAATTAATTGTCGTTGCCCCAAAGAAATAAAGATGCAGAGAGATTTTTCTTTAGCTCAGTGAGGACATTAAAAGGTTCCTGCAGAAATGAAGGATCTTTGATTCAGGATTGGTCCAGCAGTGTTTCTGTGGGCGCAACAGTTTTAAAATCATTTAGCCGACGCTTTTATCCAAAGCGACTTACGGCTGCTCTACATGTCAGAGGTCGCACGCCTCTGGAGCAACGAGGGGTTAAATGTCTTGCTCAGGGACACACTGGTGGACGGGTCACAGTGGGGGATTGAACCCGGGTCTCTCACATCAAAGGCATGTGTCTTATCCACTGCTCCATCGCCACCCCATGGTTGTTGGTCATGTGACTCACCTCAGCCAGTGGCGTTTGCTGGTGTTGGTGTGGCAGCAGATGGCATCGTACTGATCGGCCAACCAGACGATGAGGATGATGTAGAAGGCCGTCGTCGTGTCGTTGAAGAACTCCGACATAATGGCCTCCATACCTGATGACAACAGGAAGTGACATCAGCAGGTCAAGTCTGGACTCTTTTAGCCGCTTTGATGAAAAGCCGCTCAGCCAACCGGCTGTTCCAGATTTTAACGGCGAGATGGAAAGTTTCAGTGTTTCCTCAGGAATTTGCCAGACTGTGGACTCCTCGGGTCAGAAGCATCACTTACCGCCTCTCTGGACCCTGAGGCTAAATGAGTCTGACATGGATCAGAGTCTAGGTTTAGACCCGTATCCAGGATGTGAACTTACCGACGAGGGCCAGGATGACGGTGAGCAGAGGGGCTGCTGGGAAGGCGATGGTCATGTTCATCTCTAGCATCTGGAGAAGATCAACTGAGGGGGACAGAATGAGACCAGATCAACACACAGCTGATCCTCCAGGTCTGAGAGGTTGAGTGTCTAAAACTAAAAAAACCAACAGAGTCTTCAGTAGGAAGAAACTAGAACCCAGAGTGGAGGAACAAATCCTGATGGATCTGCCAGACCCTGTTCTTCATGTACAGTCCCCCCCAACAGTCTCGGAACGGTGAGGCAGATTCCTTTGTTTTTGTTGTTCACTGAAGACATTAAGACCAAAAGATGAGTTTGAGACCAGAGTTCAGAATCTCAGCTCTCAGTTCCTGGTATTCACGTCTAGATGTGTTAAACAGCTCAGGACAAACCACTGTTTGTTTGAACCACCCATTTTACAAGTGAGCAAAACTATTGGAACATGTGACAGATGTTTGTTGTTGCCCAGATGTTGCCTTTTAGGTTGATTGTCCAAACATTAACTAGCTCTGCATGACTAGTCTAAGTTTTCATCCTTGGTTCAAACCTATAAAGACTGCATTTCCTGTTAAAGAGGATAAACCAACATGAAGACCAGAGAGCTGTCTGTGGGAGAAGAACAAGCCACTGTCAAGCTGAGAAAAGAAGGAAAATCGAGCAGAGCCATTGGACAAACATTGGGCAGAGCAAGCACAACAATGTGGAACGTCCTGAAAAAGAAACTACTGGTGTACTGAGCAACAGACGTCCAACAGGTCGACCAAGGAAAACTACAGTAGCTTCATTGGCATTAAAGGAACCGCTCTAAGCTGGTTTAAGTCCTTTTTATCAGATCGATTTCAGTTTGTAGATGTTAACGATGAGTCCTCCATGCACGCCAAAGTTACTCATGGAGTTCCTCAAGGATCTGTCCTCGGACCAATCCTCTTCATTTTATATATGCTTCCTTTAGGCAATATTATCAGGAAATATTCCATAAACTTTCATTGTTTTGCAGATGATACTCAGTTATATCTATCGATCAAACCAGATGAAACTCATCAGTTAGCTAAACTTCAAATGTGCCTTCAGGATGTTAAAACCTGGATGACCTGAAATTTTCTAATGTTAAACTCAGATAAAACTGAAGTTATTGTTCTGGGGCCTAAGCACCTCCGTGACGCATTATCTGACAGGAACCAGGAAAAGAGATCATATTTCTCCTGTTTTAGCTTCTTTGCATTGACTTCCAGTAAAATCCAGAATAGAATTTAAAATCATTCTTCTTACCTACAAAGCTCTTAATGGTCAGGCACCATCTTATCTTAAAGAGCTCATAGTACCTTACTACCCCACCAGAGCACTGCGCTCCCAGAATGCAGGGTTACTTGTGGTTCCTAGAGTCTCCAAAAGTAGACTAGGAGCCAGAGCGTTCAGCTATCAAGCTCCTCTCCTGTGGAACCAGGTTCCAGTTTGGGTTCAGGAGGCAGACACCATCTCCACATTTAAGAGTAGGCTTAAGACTTTCCTCTTTGATAAAGCTTATAGTTAGGGCTGGCTCAGGTGAGTCCTGAACCATCCCTTAGTTATGCTGCTATAGCCTAGACTGCCGGGGGATTTCCCATGATGCACTGAGCTCCTCTCTCCTCTACTTTCTCTCCCTCTGTATGCAACCTTATCCCATTATTGCATGTTACTAACACAACTTCTCCCCTTTCTGGTAGTCTTGTGCTTTCTCATCCCTCTCCTCTCTCCTCCTATCACTTCCTGCAGGTTTCTGGCTCTGGAGCTGTGGAGTCTGGATCTGTGGTTGCGGGTCACCTGCTGCCCCCGTGTTCCTGCTCGACACCCTCTACTGCAACGACTATTGTTACTAGTCCTATTGTTATTATTGTCATTATAATCATTAACATTACGACTGTTATCATTAACACTACTATAAATCTGTACCATTTTTCATTTAGTCTATAGCAGAGGTCACTAATAGAAGGACCGCGGTCCGGATCCGGACCCAGCCGCTGTCCTCTCCGGACCGCCGACCTACAGCCGATTTATCATTGAAATTTACTACCTTGTGACGGAGCGTTTCTATTTTAACCCGCAGCTTTTCAAGCATTTACTGTACTGGTTTAGCGGACCAGGAAACTCACAGACCAATCGCATGTGCTCCAGTCATCTCATTTGACGCTGCTCAGACAATCAAATCTGTGCATTCCGATGTTTGAGAGTCGAGTCCGCGAGATTCACCAGAGACGTTTTGGAAATACCCACGAATTGAGAAGATGAAAGGGAAAAGAGATTTCACATGGCTTTTAATCAAGAATGTCAGATTCTTACATGTAGACTACATTCCTCCCACGGAAGTTCAAAAACAGAATCTCTCATAGATCTCCAATCCTAGCTGGCAGGACAAACTAGAGCTCACGTTTCTCACTGAACAAGAGAAAGTAGGAGTGGTAGCTCTATAAGAGGGTATGAAAGAGAAAAAGATGCGTTACAGCTGTTCATTTGTTATGATGTGTTGAGTGTTTATTATAAAATTGGTTAAGACTGCACTTTATCACTTCAAGCTACACTTTTTAAAAAAAATTAGGCACTTTATTTTAGTTTACTTAAATTTAGAATTTACTATTAGAGTAGTTATTATTTATTATCCCTCCAGTTTGATGTGAAAACTGACTGAAATATTATTTGATTTGACAGTCCGTTGTTGAATAAAAACATATGTTGATACAACTATACGTTATGGTCGTTTTGATGTCCCGGACCTTTGCTTTGGGAAATTTTCTCTAGCTGGACCTCTTTGAATTCTAATTGAATACCCCTGGTCTATAGCAACATCACCTTTACTGTCTGTACCTCTGTGTGGATATTGTGTAGGCTGCCTCCCACCTAACCCTCCTTCCCACTCCCTCTTTATGACTCTCTCTCTCTCTCTCTCTCTCTCCCTCTCTCTCTCTCTCTCTCTCTCTCTCCTTTCCTTCACCCCAACCGGTCGAGGCAGATGGTTGCCCACCCTGAACCATGGTCCTGCTCGAGGTTTCTGCCTCTTAAAGGAAGTTTTTCCATGCTTCTGTCGCCTAGTGCTGCTCTTGGTGGGAATTGTTGTTATGAAAAGCGCTGTGAGATAACTGTTGTTGTGATTTGATGCTATATAAGTAAAACTGAATTGGACAGAAAGGAAGTGCTTATGATCCGAAGCATTCGAGCTCATCTGTGAAGCCTGGTGGAGGTGATGTCACGGCTGCTTCTGGAACAGGCTCATTAATATTTATTGATGATGTAACTGATGATGATCGCAGCAGACTGAATTCAGAAGCGGAAAGAAACATTTTGTCTGCCAGTTTATGGAGAAATGCTTTAAAACTAATGGGGAGGAAGTTTATCCTGCAGCAGGACAACGAGCCAAAGCACACTGCCAACAAAACAAAGGACTTCATCAGGGGAAAAAGTGGAAGTTTTAGACTGGCCAAGTCAATCAGCTGACCTTAACCCAGCATGCATTTCACCTCCTTAAGAGGAGACTGAAGGGAGAAACACCCCGAAACAAACAAGAACTGAAAGAAGCTGCGGTAAAAGCCTGGAATAGCATCACAAATGAAGAATGCAACAGTTTGGTGAGTTTCTGGGTCGCAGGCTTCAGGCAGTTATTGCAAGAGAGGGTTCTGCCACCAAATATTAAAGGGGCCTTTACTTTTGCTCACCTCAGACTGCTGTGGATTAAAACAAAGGGTGGTTTATCCTGAGCTGTTTAACACGTCTAGATGTGACTCCAGGGAAGAAAAGCTGAGATTCTGAACTCGTCTCATCTTTTGATCTTAAACCTAAATGTCTTCAGTGAACAACAAAAACAAAGGAATCTGCCTTCTAGTTCCAAGACTGTGGAGGAGACTGTATAAATTACACATCTGAGCTAAAACACAAGCACCCTGATCAAGTACCAGACCACATCCTTCACATCCTTAAACTACTCATTTAACTGTGAACTGAAAGGCAGGGATCAAAATTCTCAACCTGGATTGGGAACTTTAGACATGACTGGATTATATTAATCTGGAATGATGACGTGAACTGGATTACAGGGCCTGGCCTGGCCTGGATTACAGGGCCTGGCTGGCCTGGCCTGGCCTGGATTACAGGGACCTGGCCTGGATTACAGGGGCTGGCCTGGCGGATTACAGGGACCTGGCCTGGCCTGGCTTACAGGGACCTGGCCTGGCCTGGATTACAGGGACCTGGCGTGTGTTTGCTCTGGGAGGAAACTGACCGATGAAGACGAAGATCTGGTGGTGAGAGTATCTGAGCAGCATCGACACTGACAGAGTCTGAAAAACACAAAACAAATTAATTTGACTTTGATCCGACCGGCCCTCGCTGATCAGAACCGGTTCAAGTTTGTTTTTAGTAGCTTTGTAGGTCCATTTAATCTTACAGACCCTGATAGTCTCTGCATAAATAAAGACTACTGTCATTAAACGTTTTCAGGAGCCTCGACAACAAGAACTAACCTGGAAATTCACTTTGACTTCATGTTCTCTGCAGATTTGGATTAAATATGATGAGTAGGACGTGTTCACTCACGAATATGACCATGATGACGAAGGCAGCCAGGTAGGAGGTTCTGGCCATCCACATGCTGACGAAGCGGTAATGTTCTCCAGACACCACGTTCCTCAGGAACCCTGCAGAGAACCACACTGCAACATCACCAACCTGACTCCAGACTGACAAGTACCTGTGACTCAAAACTGTGTTTACTCTGATCTAAACCAAAGACCTGGTTCGGCAGTCAGGGAGGGGATCGGAGGAACTCGGGGTCTGCAGTCAGGGGGGGATCGGAGGAACTCGGGGTCTGCAGTCAGGGAGGGGGATCGGAGGAACTCGGGGTCTGCAGTCAGGGAGGGGGATCAGAGGAACTCGGGTCTGCAGTCAGGGAGGGGGATCAGAGGACTCGGGGTCTGCAGTCAGGGGGGATCCCAAGAACTCGGGGTCTGCAGTCACGGAGGGGGATCGGGGAACTCGGGTCTGCAGTCAGGGAGGGGGATCGGAGGAACTCGGGTCTGCAGTCAGGGAGGGGATCCCAGAGCTCGGGGTCTGCAGTCAGGAGGGGGATCAGGGAACTCGGGGTCTGCAGTCAGGGAGGGGGATCCCAGACTCGGGGTCTGCAGTCACGGAGGGGGATCGGAGGAACTCGGGGTCTGCAGTCAGGGAGGGGGATCCCAAGAACTCGGGGTCTGCAGTCAGGGAGGGGGATCGGAGGAACTCGGGGTCTGCAGTCAGGGAGGGGGATCAGAGGAACTCGGGGTCTGCAGTCAGGGAGGGGGATCAGGAACTCGGGGTCTGCAGTCAGGGAGGGGGATCCCAAGAGCTCGGGGTCTGCAGTCAGGGAGGGGGATCAGAGGAACTCGGGGTCTGCAGTCAGGGAGGGGGATCCCAAGAGCTCGGGGTCTGCAGTCAGGGAGGGGATCCCAAGAGCTCGGGGTCTGCAGTCACGGAGGGGGATCGAGGAACTCGGGGTCTGCAGTCACGGAGGGGATCAGGAACTCGGGTCTGCAGTCAGGGAGGGGATCCCAAGAGCTCGGGGTCTGCAGTCAGGGAGGGGGATCAAGGAACTCGGGGTCTGCAGTCAGGAGGGGGATCCCAAGAACTCGGGGTCTGCAGTCAGGGAGGGGGATCCCAAGAACTCGGGGTCTGCAGTCAGGGAGGGGATCCCAAGAACTCGGGGTCTGCAGTCACGGAGGGGGATCGGAGGAACTCGGGGTCTGCAGTCAGGGAGGGTCCCAAGAACTCGGGGTCTGCAGTCACGGAGGGGGATCGGAGGAACTCGGGGTCTGCAGTCAGGGAGGGGGATCCCAAGCTCGGGGTCTGCAGTCAGGGAGGGGGATCAGAGCTCGGGTCTGCAGTCACGGAGGGATCGGAGAACTCGGGTCTGCAGTCAGGGAGGGGGATCCCAAGAGCTCGGGGTCTGCAGTCAGGGAGGGGGATCGGAGGAACTCGGGGTCTGCAGTCAGGAGGGGGATCCCAAGAGCTCGGGGTCTGCAGTCAGGGAGGGATCAGAGGAACTCGGGGTCTGCAGTCAGGGAGGGGGATCCCAAGAACTCGGGGTCTGCAGTCAGGGAGGGGATCAGAGGAACTCGGGGTCTGCAGTCAGGGAGGGGGATCCCAAGAGCTCGGGTCTGCAGTCAGGGAGGGGGATCCCAAGAACTCGGGTCTGCAGTCAGGAGGGGGATCCCAAGAGCTCGGGCTGCAGTCAGGGAGGGGGATCAGAGGAACTCGGGGTCTGCAGTCAGGAGGGGATCGGAGGAACTCGGGGTCTGCAGTCACGGAGGGGGATCAGAGGAACTCGGGGTCTGCAGTCAGGAGGGGGATCCCAAGAACTCGGGGTCTGCAGTCAGGGAGGGATCGGAGGAACTCGGGGTCTGCAGTCAGGGAGGGGGATCCAAGAACTCGGGGTCTGCAGTCAGGGAGGGGATCAGAGGAACTCGGGTCTGCAGTCAGGGAGGGGGATCAGAGGAACTCGGGGTCTGCAGTCAGGGAGGGGGATCCCAAGAACTCGGGGTCTGCAGTCAGGGAGGGGGATCCAAGAACTCGGGGTCTGCAGTCAGGGAGGGGGATCGGAGGAACTCGGGTCTGCAGTCAGGGGGGGATCCCAAGAACTCGGGGTCTGCAGTCACGGAGGGGGATCCCAAGAACTCGGGGTCTGCAGTCAGGAGGGGATCCCAAGAACTCGGGGTCTGCAGTCAGGGAGGGGGATCGGAGGAACTCGGGGTCTGCAGTCACGGAGGGGTCCCAAGAACTCGGGGTCTGCAGTCAGGGAGGGGATCCAAGAACTCGGGGTCTGCAGTCAGGGGGGATCGGAGGAACTCGGGGTCTGCAGTCACGGAGGGGTATCCCAAGCTCGGGGTCTGCAGTCAGGGAGGGGGATCGGAGGAACTCGGGTCTGCAGTCAGGGAGGGGGATCCCAAGAACTCGGGGTCTGCAGTCAGGGAGGGGGATCCCAAGAACTCGGGCTGCAGTCAGGGAGGGGGATCAGAGGAACTCGGGGTCTGCAGTCAGGGAGGGGATCCCAAGAACTCGGGTCTGCAGTCAGGGAGGGGGATCCCAAGAACTCGGGGTCTGCAGTCAGGGAGGGGGATCAGAGGAACTCGGGGTCTGCAGTCAGGGAGGGGGATCCAAGCTCGGGGTCTGCAGTCACGGAGGGGGATCCCAAGAACTCGGGGTCTGCAGTCAGGGAGGGGGATCCAAGAACTCGGGGTCTGCAGTCAGGGAGGGGATCAGAGGAACTCGGGGTCTGCAGTCAGGGAGGGGGATCCCAAGAGCTCGGGGTCTGCAGTCAGGGAGGGGGATCCCAAGAACTCGGGTCTGCAGTCAGGAGGGGGATCAGAGGAACTCGGGGTCTGCAGTCAGGGA